ATTGCTTGTAGTTTATTATTATAGATTAAGATTTTATTTAATTACATAAAATCAGTATTTGTAACAAATAAATAGATATAAAATTTAGACATTTTTATTACAATTAACCCATATTTTGAAATGAATTGTTAAAAACATTGTTAGCGAAAGACAACTGTTTGGACATAATATTGTCGTTATACTGGTCTTTGATGTTTCCCTTCGGGAAATAATGACAGACAACATAGAAATTGGTAGCGCTGTAAGACTTGGCACAACCAACTTCTCGGGTACTCTTCCACACCATTTGAGTGAAGTGTTTGGTGAATGTGATGACAGGCGACGCATAGTTATAGATGTAATACTCCTGTTCGCTATACCAGGCCTGGATTGTCTCAAAACACGTGAAGTACATCCATTTGTCCATGGCTTGGGTGGTGGGCGCGTACCATATGCTCACTCCGTACACACCACTCGTTGTATTAGTACCGCTGTCTTCGAGTCTTGCCTAGAATAGCCGATAAGCACACGGGCGGTATAGACAAAACCGGTTGAGAAGTCGGAAACGAAAACTGTTAACCTAATTGACAATTTTATTATTCGTTTAATAATCCTAAAAAAGAGAACGAAACAAATGCTGTTAAATGTGATGTTTATTAAAGGATTACTTCTTGGGATATAGAAAGAGCTGGTGTATCCAAGTGTCTCTTTCTGTATTTGTTGTGATATTTAATGCATTTATCATTGAATGTCGAGTCGGTTGACGTGAGATCTGTTTAACACAAAGAGATATACAAAATATTTGAATAAATTTTGCTTAAAATGAATGAAATTGAATGACAGACTGAGTCCGAAAATGATGCCAATGATTGCGCCCACGAGACCAAATGCAATCAATACTATGTATACGATTACGTAATAACTCAGTGTCTTATCTTTCATTTTAGTCTTAATTTTATTATTAATGAAATGGTTTGAGATTTTTTTTTCAAACAAAACGGTTAGGGATTTAGACAATGAATGTATTAATTGTTTGATTGCATGCAATAAAATAGACATTAATAGTGATGAATGTGATGTTACTCTAAGTAATTGATTGTTGTCTTATTTTATGTATTATTGTAGCGATTATTTTATTGATTGATTGATTCAGTCTCTTAGAAACCTTTTGTTTTTTGTATTGGTTAAAGAAACATAAGATAATATAAACATTTAAATATAATTTATTCAAATTCATAGCTTATTGTTTTATATTATGTACACAACTAAAATTTTAATATATAAATGCATAAAATCGATATCAATTATAAATTAAAAACTAAAAAATGAGCGTAATTTGGGCACATTTTTAGGAAAAGTTCCCTGAACATTTCCATGCGGGTAATAATTACAGACTAAATAAGTGATGCCGGTACTATCGCTAAAAGATTTGGCGCAACCGATCTCTAGAGTGTCGGACCAAACCATTTGAGTGAAGTGTCCGATCTGTTCGCTCTCGTGGCCGGCCTTCGCGACACCCCTTTCAAAGTCATAGAACTCGATCTCGTCGTACCAGTGCTTCGCCGCTGTCTTACACTTCAATTCAGACATTTTCTTAGGACTCGATTTTGTAGTCTTGAATAAACACTCGCCGTAATCGCCACCCTTTCTGTGCTCAAAAACGTTGGTCCGTCTCAGCTCTTCGGCCCTCTCCTCCGCGAACGCTATCAGCTGTCAATCAAATAATTTTTACGATACATTTCATTAGCTTTTTTTGAATGTTTTTTAAAACATGACATAAATGTACTTTTGAAGAGATTGAGAGTTGAGGACTCCTATGTTTAGACCGGTAGTAGTTGTGAACGACAGCACATTCTCTTTGGAACTGATCCGGAGATACTGTTTATAACGATTAAAATACAATTGGTTTTAATTTCAATAATTTGTGTTTTTTGTTAATAATAATAATTATCAGAATTTACGGATATATATGAGAACCGTTGAGACTATGACTACAATAAGCGCTACGAAAATCGCTATAATGTTAATCGTTAAATAGGACGCCATTGAAATCAAGAAAATTAAATTTCTTGTAGATTTGGTTCAATCAACAAATTTGGTTTAAAATTCAATTATTCAAACAATTGCTTTTGAATCGCGCGTAGAATTGATTATTAGGTATTTGCTATTATAGATAACTTAATGAAATGCTATTTTAAGCTTATTTTGTTTGTAGAAAAGTGTTGTGGTATTAAAGAAGCAAAAAACTATTACCTAGAAGTTAATTGTTTGCAACACTTGAGTGAACAATAAAATAGTTGAACACATGGAGAGTCAAAACAGCGATTCTTTAAACATAATTAATGATTGGGTTTATGTGCGAACAGAAGGGAAACAAATTGTATTCACATTTAATGAAACAAATTCCTCGCATTTCGTATTCAATTCACCGATTTGTGCAAACATTTGCCGCTAATTAAAAGTGTTATCAAATGGTAATTATCATTAAACCCAGATGTGCTTTATCATGCTTGTTTATTATGTTGATATGGCGCATTAAATAGTCTAGTACATTCTGTTTACACTTTTTAAAATTAATGTTTGCTCATATTTTAATATTTGGTACTTAATGTCAACTGATAAAAGTGTCTATTAATTTACGTTGTGTTTTGTTTTAACATACTATAACTTTTTCGTGATAAATCTATGTTTTAAAAATTCAATTACTTTTATGAAATTACTCACTAATATTGCTCGTCTCTCTCTCTCTCTCTCTCTCTCTCTCTCTCTCTCCTCCTCC